TTATTAAATATAATATTTAAAAAAGAAAAAAACTTTGAAAAAAAATAATGTTTTTTTAGTCGTGCTTTTGATGCCGTATGTATTATTAATATGAATTAATATGTTAAATAAAAACTAATTGATAAATTGTTGATTAGGTAACTGGTAAAGATGTAGCTATTAAAAAAATGCTTCGACCATTTCAAAGTGAAACACATGCTAAACGAACATATAGAGAACTTAAATTATTAATGCATCTTAATCATCGTGATGCCCAAGTTTGTTATTAATTTAATAGTTAAATAAAATATAAAAAATATTTTTTTTTTAAAAATAAATTTAGGTTGTACAATTATACAATGTATTTACACCGGAAAAAAATGTTAATGATTTTCAAACATTGTATGTTTAGTTAAAAATAAATATATTCATTTTTAATAATAATTATTGTTTTTTTTTTTTTTTTTTTTTTTAAAAGATATTTTGTACTTAATTTTGTTGATTATGATTTAAGTAAAGTAATTAAACGTGGAAAACCATTTACAGAAGATCATATTAAATTATTAATTTATTCACTTCTTCGTGGTTTGAAATTTATTCATTCAGCTGGTGTTATTCATCGTGTAACAAATTATTTTTATTTTTAGTTTTATTTATTAAATCATTTTCAATTTTTTTTTTTTTTTATTATTTTTTATTATTTAGGATTTAAAACCAACTAATATTGGAATAAGTCAAAATTCTGATCTTACTGTAAGTTATTATAAAAAATTTTCTTTTTATCTTTAATTTAATATTATTTTTGTTGATGTTTCACTTTTTTCTATTCGTTTCGTTCTCTTGTCTGACGTATTACTTTTCTTTCATAAGATAAAAACATTCATTGAAATAATGATTGAAAATAACCTAAGGATATTATCATAAACAATTTTAATTAGCAAAATAATCAATAAGTTAAATCTTTTGTTTTTTTTTTGTTTTCAACTTTACTTTCTAACTTATAATATAAATGAATGTTTCAATATTTTTTATTTTTCGATTAAATAATGTTAAACAGATTAAACTTTATTATAGAATCTTAATGATTAAATCTACTTCTTTATCGAACAATATTAACGTTAATGTCTTATTAAGATTTTTGTTTTCTTATTCTAGTAATAGAAAACACTTTTTTCGTAGAAATATTTCTATATTATTAAAATCAACCTTTTTTTTTCTGTCTCTCGGAATCTTAATATTCATGTTTTGATTAATAAGCTGATCAAAATTTCAAAACTAATTTAAAGAAAAACATAGATACGATAATTCTATCAAAGTCTATTAACATATTTTCAATAAACAATATCAGTTGATCTTTTAATTATCTAAATGATTTATTATCTATAATCATCTCTATTCAACTCTGTTTGACATATGACCGAAAAGAGTGTTGCCTAAATTATGTTAATATCTTCATTTTAATTATCGAAAAATGAAAATAAGAAAGAAAAATTTTTCTTTTTTATATGCGCTATTTGGAAGTAAACTGAAAATAATAAGAAAGTTTTTATAAGAAAATATATCAGTTTGATATCGACATTTTCACCTTGCGTTTATTAAGGAAATTTTTCCAAATTCTAATTTTTTAAGATCATTCCAACAGAAAACGACAACATACAATGCGTTTGTCGAGAAAACAAGACGAGTTTAAGCGTAGTCATAATTATTAAATTCTTGACTATTAAAAGTCTCGAAATACATACCAATATGTTTCTAAAGAACGATTTTTATTGTTAGGATTATCTATTATTAGTTACATTTACACCTGGTTTTTTGACATATGAGCAAAGAGAGTCGCGTCTAACTTTTCTTTGATTTAATTATCTGAAAATTTTTAAAAAAAACTAAAAGTCATCAAAATTTTATCATTTTCGGAAACTATTTATAATAAAATGAAGCATTTTACTGATAATGTCGGAAAAAAAGATAAAGTTCATTGTCAATAGTTGGACATTACATTTGAACGACTATTTTCGGAGTTTCGATTTTCGATATTATCGTGTAATAATATGAGAAGTTTTGATTTGCATGTAAAGTAAGAAAGAAAAGTAAAATGACAAACAATGAAATGAATCTTATGCTTGGCCTCACATTAATTATTGTTAATGAGAAAATAAATTTTAATAAAAATAATTCTTAATAAAAGTTAATCAATAAGTATAATTATATTAAATTATTTTCTATGACAAGTTCTTTCTAGAAATCTAAAACATAATTTATCTTATATTATTAACCAGGAATATAATACATATATATATATATATATATATATGGATTAGTTTTTTCAAAAATTTATTTAAAAATAATTAATAACTAATTAATTAATTACATATATAAATACAAAGTTTTAATGTTAAACATAATAATAATAATAATAATAATAATAATATATTATTTAAATAAATAATTTATATTTAAATAGATTCTTGATTTTGGTCTAGCTCGTGTTGCAACAAATGGTCTTCAAACAGGTTATGTTGCAACAAGGTTAGTTTTTATTTTTATTTATTTATTTAAATATGTTTTTCTTTTATTTAAAGATGGTGGCGTGCACCTGAAGTTTTTATTAATTGGGAACGTTATGATGAAAAAGTTGACATATGGTCTGTTGGTTGTATTATGGCTGAATTAATTCTTCTTAAACCACTTTTTGCTGGAACAGATCATATTGATCAATTAACGAAAATATTTGATGTTGTTGGAACACCTGATTTAGCTACTTTAGATGAAGTTTGTGAACCATGTACGTTGTTTATTTCTAAAAATCTGTTATCAATCAATTTTTTTTTTGATTATTTCTAAAGATGCACGAGATTATATTCATAAATTAACAACAAGACCTAAACAAGATTATAAAAAATTATT